GGTAAGAATAAGAGGGGTAAGAATAAGAGGGGGGTAAGAAGAAGAAGGGGAGTAAGAAGAAGCAGGAGGGAGAAGAAGAAGAAGGGGAAGGCAAGAAGAAGAGGGGGTAAGCATTAGCGGGGAGCAATAAGAAGAAGGGGAGTAATAAAATGGCGAAGGGGGGGAGAAAGAAGAAAAGGGAGAAGAAGGGGGGAGTAAGAAGAAAGAAGGTGACAAGAAGAACAGGTGGGGAGTAAGAAGAACAAGGGGGGAAGTAAGAAGAACACAGGGAGGAGGGGGGTAAGAAGAACACGGGGGGGCAAGGAGAACACATGGAGGGGGGAGTGAGAAGAACACAGGGAGGATGGGGGGGATGAGAAGAGCACAGGGAGGGTGGGTGAGTGTGAGAAGAGACTGCTAGGGGAGGGTGGGGGAAAGGAGAGACCACTAAGGGGCAGGGGAGAGCTCTAAGGGACAGAAGGGACAGCTCTATAGGACAGGGGGCAAGACGGAGAGTTCTTTAACACTACTCGCGCACACACACACAATGCATCCCTATACATACACAGAAACACACAATGCATCCCTACAAAGACAGAAATACAACATGCTTCCCTTACACACAGAGAAACACACAATGCATCCATTACACACACACACACACACACACAATGCAACCCTTACATACAAAGACAATGCATCCTTTGCACACACAATGCAAACCCTTACACACACATGCAAACACACACACTGCTTTTCTTACATACACACAGAAACACAATGCATCTCTTACACTCAATGCACACACATACAGACACACACCTTGCATACAAACACAAATTCACACAATGCATCCCTTACATACAACCAGAAACACATAATACATGCCTTATACACAAATACACACTGCTTCCACTACACACAAACACACTGCATCACCTACACAAACTGGTATCCCTATACATTACATACCATAAGCACACATATTAGATCCTCTACAATAACACATAACACATCCCCTACACACTCCACTCCCTGTGAGCGAACTCATGGGTGGGTGGAACATATAAGTGGACTTATGAGTGGGCCTTGTGGGCATACTCACCGTCAGGCCCTGGGGCCCAGAGCTTGAGCTGTGTAAGGGGCCCCCCAAAAATGGAGCTGCTTCCAATTCTCCCAGAACATTGAATTTTGTGACTACAGTTGCAAACAGCCTCCAGAGATCCTGTTCTACACCAGACCAGTGGAGCCATCATCATCCTTATCTTGTTGTAAGTAGGCAATCTAGTACATTATTAGTGACACTAATCTCTAATTTACCTCATATTAAAGGAACACTATAGTCCCCAGAACGACTGCAGCTTAATGAAGTGGTTCTGGTGTCTATAGCCGGTCCCTGCAGGCTTTTTAATGTAAACATACGCTGTGGGCAGCACTGGTGTTAGTTCATATGGCAGATCATATGGGTGGGGCATTGTGATGTCACATGGGGGGCAGATCATATGGGTGGGGCATTATGATGTCACATGGGGGGGGCGGCAAAATTTTTCTTTTGTCTAGGGCGGCAAAAATCCTTGCACCGGCTCTGATCCTGGGCAGGTGCACCAGTCTACTGGTGACCCACAGGAGGGGAGTGCACTGATTGCACTGCACTCTCCTCCTGCCCAAACCAGTCTTTACCGCAGTGCAAGTGCCCTCTACCCCTAATTTACAGTGGCTCACACTCACAGCAAGCAGTGCCTGGAGCCCTTTGCAGAGACGGGAACAAAGAGGTTTGCGGCAGCTGGCCGTCCTGCAAGCATTACATTAACCAGCTGTTCCCCATGCAGCCACCGGTGCCGCTGTGCTGGGAGATTGTGATTACTCTTCACTTCCTCCCAGCCTACAGAGCAGCGCATGGGAGAGAGAGAGGAGGAGGCATGATTTAATCTTACAACAAATCCATTAAGCAAATCTTTATAAATTTGGGGGGATCAGCTCCGTTTCCACAGTTTATTGGTGTTTACTCTGATGTCTGTTTAATATTGAGGGATTTCTAAGTAGCAACATCAGTGTGTGTCAGCAGGGCCAGCCGTTGGGGTGTGCACGCTGTGCGGTCACGCAGGGTGCCATGACAACAGAGGTGCCCGGTGGCCAACACAGCTCACAAGTTGGGGACCCCAGCATATTCAATTTAAATGATTCGCTGGTGGTCCACTGGTGCGCACCAGCAGTAGGTGCAGTCAGATTATAACCTCTCCCTCGTGGTTCTGGCGCTCAGTTAGTGAGTCAGAGCACAGGCTCAGAGATTCTCAGCCTGTGCTCTGACAACATTGAAAGTCAGAGCCGTGAAGGAGTGGGTATTGCAAAGAGCTACTGATTAGCATGACATCAATATCCGTTATAAAACCAGGAAAAGGTGGGCATGGATGGTGAACTGATTTGGTGGTGCAATGGGCCACTTGACTGGTTTTGCCCCCCAGGCCTAAGGCTGCCAGCCCACCCCTGTATATATATATATTATCCTGTAGACTGTAAGCTCAGTTGAGCAGGGTCCTCATCTACCTATTGTTCCTGTAACATTTTGTAGTTGTCTCATTTATTGTAAAAATTTTATAATATTGTAAAGCACTGAGGAATAAGATGGCGCTTTATAAATACTAATAATAATAATAATGTATATAAATAAATATTTTCAAATCCTTGATATGCTACTACTCCACAAAAAATGGTGGTAAAGAAACGAATAATAAATAAATAAAGATTATGGCGTATTTTGTGCTCTCTGCAATTGTTTTATTATTGATAAGAGATGTCGCTTTGGGTTGGGGGGTGCAGTATATAAAATCATTATTATAAATAATAAAATTGCTTCATAATTCATAAAAACTGAATAACTAAAGGATTGTGTATAAAAGATACCGTCTGCAATATATTATTGATAATCACATAGTAAAAGATGACTGATGTTGCAAAATATATAATATATTGCATAGGGTTGTAAAACAAGGACAAACAAGAGACTATTTCGAGTGCATTTTGGAAATTATAGAAGGGTCCTACAGATCTGGATAGTGTGGTAGGTAGGGTTCCCCTATAACCAGGATCGAGGGAGACATCAGACTTGTGCATTTGTTTTTGGTTGAATTGCAATTTGTCTAAATTTAGTCTGATCGGTGTGTCGTCTGAGTTCCATAATTTTGAAGCGACATATGGCATCATAAACAAGATAATGACTAGTGCAATGGGCGACTATGTTTGCCTGATTCGGGATTCGCCGTTCTGTCCATAGTGTCAGAAAAAGAGATGATTTGTGGGGAAAAAAATATTGAATTAATTGAATGATGGGTGGAGGAACAGCCACTAAATGTGTTTTATTCACAGATCAAGTGACAAAAGGTAAAAAAAAGGGAGAAGTGAAAAAATCTCTCTCTATATATATATTTCCTGGCCATAGGCCATGACAGCACAACAATGGGTAGTTTCTCTCTATCTCTAATTAGACAGGGACCTCATTAAAACAGAAGGTATTAGTAACCCCTCCTAGCCCTCCCACCCTCAGTCTAATAGACCATAAAGATCTTCAAGCCTCTATAGAAGCCATCAGCAGATGGATAGTCTTGGCTGTTTTTTAGGCTACTAAGCCCTAGGGATTACAGTACTTAAAGGTATGTTTGCTCTAGAGCCATTTCTCCCTCTTGAGCATCGGTGGCCAAGCTTCCCTGGAACTGGTAGGTATATGGCTGCTTGGTCCTCAATTAATTTGCAGACATTATTTTGGTACATTTGAGTTGGTCAATTTGATAATGTGCCATTAGTGGGCAATCAGTTTTTCATTTCGAATGTCCTCATGAGCTGTGTGTGTGTATGTTGTCAATTTGAGTTCATATTTTGGAAGTCTTGTATACTTCTTTCCCTCCCTTGGTTATTGCTTGGGTATTACCCATTGATATGCTTTTCCCCTCT